AAAGCAAGCTAAACAAGAACCAACCAAAAACAGTCTCCAGGGACATCTTGCTTTTGCCTGTATCCTTAGGTCAACTTCAAGCCAGCAGAAGATATAAAGACAGTACATGTTGCTTTGGTGGATGATCTCTTCTTGTCCACTGGCAGCAAAGTACTTCCACACCTATCCTGCTGGACCTCACTGCTGCAGCCTTTGGTGCATGTCATCACCGGATAATCTTGCCCTGCCTCCAAGAGGCTGATGAGATGAAAGGAAAGTGTGTCAGGTTCTTCCTCTCAGACCAAACACATTCCATGAGCCACTGTTCTTCCATGTCCAAAGCCTTCATTTTCAGAGTCCCACAAGACTCACTCCTCTCCCTCATATCATTCAACATCTATATGAAGCCAAACTAACCAAGCTATTTTTCCTATTGTCTGGAATGGGAAAAAGAGAAAAGCTGTTATTTTCACTGATGTTTTCTATTTCTATTTACATTTCTTAGACTGGATAACTTGCACACATGAATCTTAAAAGGAGTTGGCGCCTATGGAAAATAGTATTTGATCATATAAGTTAACGACCATTGATCTGATTCCTAATTACACAGAAGACTTTATGCACTTTTGTGGCAGGGTAAAGGGGTACCAAAGAGGGCATAAATTACACTTACACTCACTTTAAGACCCCTTTACACGTTTGGATTAGTGTAAAAGGGTCTGAGTGTAATTGAGAATCAAGCCCAACGTTATAATGCTTATGCACAGGGAGAAGAGTTAAGGTTACATAGGGACCTGATTTCTGAGTGCTTCCCTTTGTAAATTTAATGTTCTTTTAAACTTTGTTTTTCTGTATGCATTCACACATACAGTAAATAGAGGGGATGGAGCCTCTGTATGTGGGTATGTAAATTTCTTATGAAATCAGTGTAGATGTCATAAAGAAGCCACAATCCACTCAGTGTTTTACTAATATGCTCTACCCATGTTTATAAATTTCTAATTTTGATAACTAATATACAATGTCTGTGTAAAGAGAAACAAAACAATTGCATATATAAATAAATGAACAGTCCAATGAATTTGTTTTAAAGAAAACTCTAGGTCAACATTAAGAAGCATGCTGAGCCAGGAAATTGTCTTTATGAGCTGGTTAATGGTTTCAATTTGCATGGAACAGTAAAAAGAAAAATATAGTAACTATGATTCTTTTATTGCAGATTAGGAAAACATTACAAAGGGCTTTTTTATTAATTCCACAAAACTTTAATACTTCCAGAAAATCTGGCTGAATCAGGATTATGTTTAGGAGTGTTATTCAGTTTTAGAATGTCAAATGCATGGCACCTACTAAACTGACTAATTGCGGTAAAGGTGTTACATCCTCTTCCACAACCACACTTAATAACTTGGAAACTATGAAGATTTCCATTTGAAAATACAACTACAATCTACTTGTCTTTTTGTTCCTTCAGCAAATCATGGCTTCTGTGGAATAATTTAACAGAAATCCTATTAGCAAGGAATAGTCCATATTATATATAGTTCAAAAGAATATCCTTCTCAGAGCTTTTTGTCTTTTAAAGCATGAGAGATTCCCTAAATTTCAGAATATTTTTTCAGCATTAACATTTATACTGTATAGTCTGAAAAAGGACTTTCCAACACTTCAGGCTCAATTACCTAGTAAAAGATAAAAAAGAATTCACAATATCTAGAGTTGTGAATGTCATATGCATGAATTAAGGTACTATGAGGGGAAAAAGCTTCAATATATTTTCATTATTTTCAAGTTCTACTCAACAATGCAGAGTTCTTAAAAATGTTAATGTCTATATCTTTTAGGATGAAATTCACCTCATTTCTCAATTAACCACATAATCTGATATAAACTCTGTGTTAATTCCCCAATCCTATAGACACTTGCGCACATGCTTAATTTTACTTAATTATCTGCAGGATCGAGGCCTAAGTAATTAATACAGGGCTGATGCAGTACAGGGGTCTTCTTTGGAATCTCTGTAGTGGGGTGAATTTCACCCTATGAGATTGAAAGATACTTGAGAAAATAGAGTTTATACTACAGCTATATACAGTTTAATCCATGTCATTTGAATGGAAATTTGTTCTGTTCTAAACTTTCCTCTTGGAACCATTAGTGACTTGCCAAAATAATATAATTTCTACTGTCCGTGATTTTCGCTAATGCTACCACCTACCTGTTCTTGAGTGATTTTTTTTTCAAAATACTGGCTATTCTTTCGTACCAATCCTGTCATCCTTATGTTTTCCTTTTTCATCTGTTTTTCTCACAAAATTTTGTTACAGTGGTTGGAATAAATATAAGGGAAATTCCATGGTTCATGATAGGCTCATGAGAAATCAAGGAATCTTAAAATATTTCAGAGTAAGGAAGTACTATAGAGGAACACTATGTTTTACATTTGTGACTTCTGTTTTGACTCTTGCCCTTAAGATTTCATTGACATAGAACAATCAATATTTTTGCTTCCCTCCCCTGCCTCTACAAGCACAGTTGAATTTCTGGATGATGGTTTGTGATTGGAGAGCCTCAAAAGCTTTGGAGGTTCAGTTTGGATAAGAACCCCAAGATCTAGATAACCTGCTGCTCCCCCCCACACACAAAAATGTTCAAAACCATTGCATTGTCAGAGTTGGGTTAGAAGTGTTGCAAAAACTTGTTTTTCTGAGACTTCAAATACTTCCCACTTTGTGTTTGAACTTGGCCACAAATACCATTGAATAAAGCCTCCCCTTCAGTATTTCATCACTAGCATCTCTGGTTCTGTAAATCAAGGAAGCAAAGGCATGGGTGAAAATGAAAACTGTATGGTTTGGAAAGATTTCTGAATTTACCTGAATCTGGAAAAAAAATGCATTGTGTTTGAGTTTAAGGTGAAGGCTTGGGTTGGCCCACTCATCCCTAATGAGTATGCCTCTTCTTATACTGTAGCATTTAAATCAGAGTTATATAACTTGTCCCATCTCCTAAATTTGCCTGGGCAATGTGTAGTCAGTTTTTTCTTTTCTACGGTTTAAAAAAAACTTGTGAAGCAAGGCCCAGAGATTCACCTCATTCTAGTTTTTTGTTTCCCTTCTCCATCTTTTCCTTATGCTTCTTCATTCTGTGGAATTTTATCTGATCCTTTACTCATTATTCCAAGAATTAAAAGTTGAGATCCCTATTTTTCTCACTATAGTTCTAATTAATTACAAACCAATGCAAATTATGGTCAGTCATTTTGATGGTTCATCTAGCTCTACTTTTGCAAGCATTCATACAGTAAATAAAATATAACAAATGTTATTTATAGAACTCCAGAGTAAGTTAAAAGTTGCCCCTATTCTAGTTATTGCTCGTAGACTAGGTGAAATGAATTAGTAAGAGGAACTCTGGAAATCGCTCATTATATCTGCAGTATTATACATGCTTGACATTTATGCTAGTGCATTTTTATCTTTGCAAATGTACAAGGACAGCAAACTAGCATGTAATTTGGGAGATAGCTTCTAATACTGTGCAATGAAACACACAGCAGCTATGATTAATTGCATTAATTGCTCTTGACTGATGGAGTCTAATTGAAACCAAATACATATATAAAAATACCTGATGTCACAGAAATCCTTGTTTTTAGTTTCCCTAACATTAGAGATGCTGTGGAAGCCTGATCAGGAAAGAACTGGTGTTAGCACTTGGGAGATGCACTTCTGTTTTGAGTAGATTAAGTAGCTCATTAGGGAAAGGAACAGTATTCCATTATTTGTTACCCTTATAGATTAAATCCTGTTTTGATGGAGTCTAATGATGAACTCTTTATTTTTAGTACCTTATACAAAAACCTGTAATAGAAAGGTAAAATAATATTTGCATGGTGATTATAGCTTAGTTTTTGTTTTTTTATTACAAAAAACACTAACAAGGCAGTGAAGGTTAGGGTTTCACAGGGTGTGGGTTGTATGGGGTTTTTTGCTTTGGAGAAGTTTTTTTTGGTTATTCAATTCTGTTGATGATATGCAAGCTGGAACAAAACCATGAGGAAAGATGGTCCAGTGGTCAGGGTGCTAACCTAGAACTAGGGCAACTGGGGTTCATTCTCTGCTGTGCTTCCTTTGTGACCCTGAGCAAATCTTTGGTTTGACCCAGTACGGGCATTCTTATGTTAATCACTTACACTGTCTGTGCCTCAGTTCCCCAGCTGCAAAATGGGAAGAGTTGTGGTTTCTGACCTCACAGTGTGATATGAAAATAGATACATTAAAAGATTGTGAGTTGCTCATATACAGTAGTCATAGGGGTAATATAAGTACCTAAGGGCTTGTCGGCATAGCAATGGGTGCTAGAACGGTGTGATTTCTAAAGCACATCAATATGTTGTGCATTAACTGGCCTACTAACAAACAGTACTATGTTAATGAGCACCAGGAAATTTTTAGTTCACATCAGCAGGGTCTACATGGTCCAGTTAGTGCACAACATGCTGGTGTGCATTAGAAATTACACCTCTTTAGTCACACTGCCATGCCATGTAGACAAGTTATAAGAGAGAAATTCCAGCTCCATTTCCCAGAGCTATATTGTCTAAATAGAGGTAAAGACTCATCTTAGTCACTAATGTGAGCAGAAATGAAATGGCCAGAGCTATGAAGAAAAGACATGAACTCTCTAAAAATGTGAGGGTATTCAGCTCGGAAGTTTGGTTCAGACCCATCTCTACAAGAAAAAACAAATCAGTGGGACAGGATTTTCAGAAGTGCTTAGTGTTGGCCTTACTCTGTTCCCATTGAAGTCTATGGAAAAAATTCCATTGATTTCAGTGGAGGAAGATAGGTCAGTGCTGAGTGCTTTGAGAAATCCCTCTCAGTACATTTTGAGATAAATGCTGAATTTAGTGACTGAATATTTTTAAATTACAAAGTAAAAATTACACTTGGATTTTAAAAGATGAAGGCATTCAAATGTGGGTTTCTTTTAAAAAAAAAATCTTGTCTCTTATACAGTTTGAGGGCTGCAAGAAGGCCTTTTCCAGACTAGAAAATCTCAAGATTCATTTACGAAGCCACACAGGAGAAAAGCCCTACCTTTGTCAGCATCCAGGCTGTCAGAAAGCATTCAGTAACTCCAGCGATCGAGCCAAGCATCAGAGGACACACTTGGACACTGTAAGAAATAAAAGATCGCAAATTTGTTTTCTTGTTAACCTGTTAAATCCTTTTTCTCTTAGCTGATCACATCAAATACTGTATATAATTGGAGATGGGAGAATAGGAAGAGATGTCAGTTAATAGAGTTTGAGCTGTGGCAGAGATGACATAGTACAGGGGTGGCCAAACTGTAGCTTGCGAGCAACATGCAGCTCTTTTACCATTAAAGTGCAGCTTGCAAACCCCTCCACCCCCTCTCCATTCTCCGCCTACCACACTGGGTGGGGGGAGGGAGGGAGGAGCTTCTGCCCAGCGGGGAGGAGGGTCTTGGGGCTTCAGCCCTGTGGGGCGCGTCTGCCGTTGCTTGGCAGGAGTGGGGCTGAAGTCCCAAGCCCTGGCCCCTGGCAGGTGTGCTCTGGGTCTCAAACTTCTGATGATTGTCGTGTGTGGCTCGAAGGGTCAGTAAATTTGGCCATCCCTGACATAGTGTCAGTCAGGAGAGTTACCAAGTTGTGTTCAGGTTTCCCCATTTCCTTTGCTTGTAATAACACTCGGACTGACTGTGACAGAAAGAGTTAGTCTGCTGGCCTATATGTTCTGAGGAGGCTCTAGTTACTGACTGAGGTATATAAAGGTAAGTAGTGAAGATGGGCCAAGGTTACAAAATTCAGATTTGGATCCAGATTTTGAATACCACAAAATTCTGGAGTTTTTGGAAACAGGATAATGGACCACTGTGGAATTTGGATCCAGGTTTGAGTCTGAAGTTTGGAGATTTCCAGGTGTGAAGTTTTGGATCAGGGCTATCTCCAGTCAGTACAATTTGAAGTTGGAATTAAGGCATAAATGCCTGGGCCATAACAGAATGGTCTGATGATGAACGTATTAGCCTTTGCCTACAGAGATACCACAGTGCATAAGAAAACCCATTCAGATAGGAGCAAGACTTTGGAAAATCAAAATGTATCTTCCACAAGAATATATCCCAAAATACAGAACACATTAAGGGCAAAGACCTGTCTGTTTTAGTCACACTACTTCATTAACTTCAGCAGGACTATTCACTTGGGCAAGGCAAGCCTTATTTGGGCTCTTAACTCTTATTACTGGTAGATTAGTGATCAGTGCAAATGTGGCATGCTACTTTTTTAAAAATGGTATGTAATATAAACAATTGACTTAGGGCCTGATTCAAAGCCTAGTAAAGTCAACAGGAATCTTTCCATTGGCTCCATTGGGTTTTGAATCTTGCCCTTAATGGTTACTATCAAGTTCTGCTCTATTTTAAGACACATAGGTATTCATTATGTGGTATTGCAGGTTCTGTAGATAAGAAGTTATTCCGTCACAACATATAATGAATGTGCAATGAGAGTCTGCTAAGAACATTACCAGAAAGCAGAACATTCAACTAGATTCAGTTTTCCAAATCACAAAACAAAAAAGTTTCTCATTTAGTGAATGGACAGTTTTAGGCCTTCCTGCATCAGTTCAATAGTTGCAGGAGGGAGAATGGCTGAAGAGATCCGTCTTAAAGTAGCTTTCACTCTGAAATGCTTTCTGTGGGAGGGAACCATTCTTCTCAGCAGAAATGGATTTTTTTTCACTGCAAAGAGCCTGTAATTTCTGAAAGCCAGTTAAAATGCTGCTTAGAAAAAAATATCTAAAACATAGTGCTTCAAGATAATAAACAGAATAAATGTGTCACCTTAAAGTGATAAATATGCATACATAAGCCAGATAAGTAGTTAGAAGGAGCTAAGCTGCAGCCGCACAACCTGCCCGTGGTTGAGGGAGTAAATTTCCCCCCTCTTCCACAATCCTCAAGACTCCAATAATCAGAAACATCAATAATAACATATAGTTATCACTAGATAAAAGTTTTACTAAGGCAAAGTTAAGATTGAGAGTACATATCAAGAAGTTAAGGGCAAAACTCTATTAGCAAAAAATAAAATAAAATAAATTTTATGCAACCAAAATATTGTTTGTGAATTATGGGGTTTTAGCCAAGATTTATTTAATAAACAAAATTTGTTTGACAACAAAATAAAATTTAGTTTTAAGCAGAAGCAGACAGAGTTTATAAAGGGCATACCATCAGGAAACAGAAATAATAGCATATGACTTAGCTGACCAGTCGCACAACTTAAATAGCAAATTTCAAATAATGAATAGTGAACAGAATGTTCAATACAGACAGTTCACAATTTTGTAAAAAATGTGATCTGTTTGCATATATTCTGTGAACAAAGTAAAGAGTTAAATTTATAAAATAATTGCAATAATAGGTGCAACAATTCTAATATTTACATATTATAGACATTCCATATTGTAGTGCAACTACAATTCAGGAAATACCTCAAGGGGTGTCAGAGCGCAGGCAAGTTAGAGCAAGTAGATGTGACTTTTAGTGAATCTAAAAACAATGTTCATGGACCTGGATGTTTCAGGATTGTATATGTTGGCAATATTGTATATTTGTGATTAGCAATTAAGAGATGAAAAAAACAGTCCTGTCCTTTACATAAAAATACATATTCTTTGCATATTCTTTTTTATTGCCTTCAGTGTTTTAGAACTGTAGTGTTGAAAGGTTGCTTTGTTGTTGTTTCCTCTCTTTGTCATATAGTAGACTAACCTTTTCTCTTATTCTCTGTCTTTCTGAAGCAGGTTTCCTCTATAACTCTTAAGCAGTCTGTCCAGGACTTTACTGCAGTTTCTTTACCTGACTTACTAAAGAATGTAATTTCTGACTAAGTCAAAGATTGCTGTGAGGGTGACATAATTGTAAGTACTACTGGAGATACTCATTCATAATGATAAAAAGAATAATGAGGTAAAAGGAAATATGGCATGGTAAAATTAAAAATAGGCATTTAAACATCAGAAAAGATTCATTTACTTTCTCTTGCTTGCAAACCTTCCTTTCCTCTTTACCATGCCATTAAACTACTGGGCATTCTACCTGTGGTACTGCTCAGCGTAGCCAATCAATAGCAAGACTTCAAATGGATTTTGCCCAGTTAAAATAATCTGTGGTTTAACCGATTTTTCTTTGTGCTTTTTTGGTTTGTTTTTGTTTTAGAAACCTTATGCATGTCAGATTCCAGGATGTACTAAGCGATACACAGACCCAAGCTCCCTGAGAAAGCATGTAAAGGCACATTCTTCCAAAGACCAACAGGCCAGAAAAAAGGTAACTTTCCCAGAGGATTGTTCTGCATAGGAATTATATAGTGAGGGTAATGTTGTAACACTAGAAGTATTGAGACATCTTAAGTACCAGCACTTGTGAAACTGTAGAGCCTTGGTCTGGGACTGCTTGATTAAAGAAACCATCCATGAACAAGTTGTAAATCCAGTGTGTGCATAGATGATACTTTCAGTTTTAACTCAATAAGGCTGATTGTTTTATTAGAAGTCCAGCAGAGATTATCATCTGTTGATATAATGATTAATCATAACGAATATATGTAACTCAGTATATGGAAAAATAATTTTGAGAAGGGAGATTTATTTGTAAAATTCTTTCACCACGTAAGTATATTGTGATGCAACATCCAGTTTATGCTGCCAATCTGAGATCGATAGATGTATATTGAGGATTGATGGATGGTAGGTCAAACTGACCTATAGAAACATTAGTATATTTTCATACATCCCAGCCATTTTCAAACCTCAAGCTATTTCACAATGCTGAGTCCCAGGTTTCTCAGTCCCATGGGGAAAAAAGTTAGCTGCAGACATGATCTGATTTTTTCCCCACATCTCAAGCCCATTTTTACTATAAACCATGTTATACTGTTTTAGACCAATGAGGATAAGTGCAATGCTTTAATTTAAAAAACTGATGAGGATGGAGATGGTTTTGTCTGCACTATGGGGGTAAGTTACGCTACTCCAGCTACATGAATAACATAGCTGGAGTCAACATAGCTTAGGTTGATTTACTGCAGTGTCTACACCGCACTGTGTTGACAGGACACTCTCTCCTGTCGACTTACCTTACTCCTCTTGTTCCAGTGGAATACTGGAGTCAACCAGAGAGTGCTCTGCGGTCGATTTAGAGGGTCTTTACTAAACCCTGTAAATCTACCCCGCTGCATCAATTGCAGCAGCGTCAATCCCCAGTAAGTGTAGACATAGGCTTAGAATAATATAGAGAGAGTTAAAACCCTAGAGTCATAACCCCTACAGAAGGGGCTATATTTAACTTGGGTGACAGCATGGATTGCCCTTGATTTGAATGGTAAAATTTTTTGTTTTGACAGTGTCTGAAACACTAAAGCATAGTCTTACAAACTGCAAAATGTAGGGCTAGATTGTGATTTAACTGTTTGCCCTGAGCATGTATCTGTGCTGCTCCCAGAGATCAGGGAATGAATTTTAATTGTTGGGAATTATAGTTTACTTCCTAATTCCCCCTTGTGTCAGGGGAAAAGTAATCTCCTAGTGGTCATTACTGTGCTGGCTGGCACCTTGACCCACCCCTGCATGCCCTCTCCTTGCCCATGTGTGGAGGAGGGCTGGTGGTGGTCCTGTGTAAACTGGTCTCCTGGCTGCACTGTGAACCATAGGGCACATAACACCCCTTTGCTCCTCTCCATGGGCTATGTGCCCCCCACTTACTGCCTTGTGTCAGCATGTGAGGCAAGCGGTGGTCGTGCCTGAATGTTCTGTCAAGTTTACATATGACACATTAAATAAAACTTGGATAATGTATCTGAACAGAGGGTATTAAACTCTTTGGTAACATTACATAATTGAATGTAAAATAATATGGTATGTTCTGTACATAATTGTGTCAAATTGCAGGAGTATGAGGGGTTCCATTCTTAGGATGACATTTCCCATATGGTTTTATTCATTTTCCATTCTTCTCTTATAACAGATTAAAGCTGGCCCTTTTAACTCCTCACATGGTCATTTTTTTTAGAATTAAACTTAAAGTTGTTTAGTTTTTCATCCAATCCATTTGATAAAGATTTATTTATCTGAGATGGGTTAATATGTGGAAGTGGAAATAAGTCAACCCAGCAAAAAAACAAAGGAAGAAATGTGGCATCAATCAAGCCAAATGTTTAAAAACATACACTGAGGTCGCAGTGTATAATATTTACAAGGGTACAGCGTAGTTACTGGACCTTTGAGAACTTATAATTGCTAACTCGTATCATGCTTTGCTATTTGAAATATTTCCTGGCGGTAATAATAATAATAATAAAAAGTAAGAAACAATAAACCTTTTAAGGCAGAATTAAGATTATTTACGACTTTAATTAAAAATGAAAATTGGCTTAATGTCAAAAAAGCCTTTACAAAAAATGTGAATTCATCAAAAATAACTATAAAAGTTCCAAGGTGATAAAGGCACAGTGGAGTAATAGTTCCAGCCCTAGGGAACTATTCTATTGAAAAGAATGAAACCCTTTGCTGTCACACCCTGTTAGTCATAGATTCATTTAATATATCTTGCCTGACTGCCTCTAATCCTCATTTTAACCTCCCCCTACATACTAAATGGCATTATTTTGGTGTCTTAAGTTGCTAGCTATCCAAGATTGTACACTAAAATATGTTATTGATGTTACACAGATTTTAAATAGCAGGGAAAATGTATTTGTGGCAATGGAGATGCCCTGGAATAAACTACTGTACTCACCATAAAAAGAAGAACAGGAGTACTTGTGGCACCTTAGAGACTAACAAATTTATTAGAGCATAAGCTTTCGTGGACTACAGCCCACTTCTTC